TTAATTATTTCAAGAATGAGTTAGCCTGCACCTGTGTTACTTGAGCTGCAAACCATTTCATGACAGTTCCTGGCCGAGCATGTTTAAAGTCAAGTTACAGCCAAAGTAATCAAAAAGCAGAGTATGAGATGGTACCTTTTAAAATTCCACATTGGAACTAGCAGACCAGTTTGGGAGATGTTAGTATGTGTAGTATATTTGTGTCTGAAGGTCCTCAGCCACATTGGGCATTTCTGGGATGACCACTTTGTGATTGTGAGGCCTCTATCTTTCCAATATAATCTAGTGAATTTGCAATCTGATTTAGGGGCAGACCAACAAGTCACCAGACGAGGGTGTACCAGGTGCAAGTTGAAGCGTGAACATGCATCTGCTTGCCAGTACCTGCTTGCATACATGCCCTTGGCTCTCAATGAAAGAGGGGAGAGTGTCTGATATATCCTTTGACATATCAGAAGACAAATACCTGCAAAAGGACTGTTACAGGCAGCTGCCTGGCTCAGTGGCATGTTTATAGTAACTTATGTCTCTGCCTGTATGCTACAGAGACAAGATATATGCAGGAAGCAGGAAGGCAGGGCAGGAATTTAAGAGTTTACAATGATATATTACAAGGTAGATGGTGAGTCCCAGAAGAGAGCCCAGGATACCTGGCTGCCAGGTTTGTGCCCCAGCCACGAGATAGAGTAAGAAGGGGAACAGAGTCTTGAGGATAACTCACAGGGATGTCTCACATCTTCAGGAGCTAAAAAAAAACCTCAAACCTGTAGGCAGTGATGCTTAGGACAGTGGAAAAGAAGTCTAACCTCCAAAATTTTCCATGCTGTGGTACAGTTTGCTGGACTTGTAGACAGTGTATGTGGCAGCCTAAACCAAGGTGAACTTAGACTCACCTTTCCATTAAAATGCTCTGGAAGTGTCTTTTTTTTCTGTACTCTAATTAAATTAGAATTACTTTAAGCCTACTAAACACAGACTCTTTTCCCGTTTGGAAACATAACATTTCTTATCAAAATACAGATGTAAAAGTACATGGAAAGAAGGAAACTGAGCTTGATGTAGCTTTGTTTTAGTGAGGAAAAATAATATAATTCAATAAGACTAGCTTAAGCTCTCTGATTAAAGCTTTTTTAACATAACAGATAGGGAGGATGAGATCTACACTGAGATAAAGATAGTTAGTACAGATCAAAAGAGCTTGTGTTCATGCCAACCAGATTAAATGACAGGATGTGGTGAAGTGCTGGTACCATATCTGGTTACTTTACATACAAAGCTTTATTTGCTGATGTAGATATATCTATTAAGTTATATGCATTTATATATGGAAACTGCAGAAATAAATTGAAAGCAATGTACCATGTGTAGAGTGTTTGTTCTGATACTATTTTAAGATTGCATTTCTTCCAATTACTATATAAATACGCAAATTTTTTATAGCTGTCTCTCTCACTAAGATCGTGGAAGTAAATCATATTATAAATTGAGATTTATTTCTAAATGCATTAGCATTCCACCATTCTCACTTGTTAGCTTTTGTGCATAAATTCAATAGAACCATATATTTCATACTCCAACTTCATTTTAGCAGGAATTCTAGGACAACTTTGGGGTGAATTAAACTTAGGACACAAAATGCATCTGTAATTTTACAGGGTTTTTTAGTATTTATTTGCCTGCACAGGGCCTCTGAAGAGGCAGAATACAGGACTCGAAGGTTCTTTGGTTTAACCCAATGTGGCTGCTCTTATGTTTCTCATACACTGCAACAGCAGGATGTGGGAAGGAGGGGACATGTCAGGAAGGGAAAACACTGCCAGACATGAAGATGCCACAGGCCTGTGACACTGCGCACTTCTGGAAGGCAGCAGGGAGGGTCTGTACACCACATCTGCTGAACAGGCTGCCAAGACCTGCCTGGTCGAGCTATGCCAGAAAGAAACACCAAGGAGAGATTCTGTCATCTCTGCAGGAAGACTGATGATTCAGAAGATGAAAGGTTTTCCATGGGACATAATGAAGAGATTTCATTAGATGCACCTGCATTTTATTGTTATTTTTCATTGTTGCTAAAGGACTGCCTAGAAACCTGAGCTTCACAGTACTCTGAGCTGGAAAAACTCCTTAGAAAATTCTCTGCCTCAGAAATCTTACCAAAAAAAGAATAAAGATGAAGAGAACAGGAGGAAAAAGCATTTAGTATACAGAGGACATGGCTAGTTTTGGATTATTCCTGGTGGACAGATAAAGGACAGGCTGGAGCAACATACCAGCATGAGCAGAGCCAGAAAACAGCTACACCTGCAGGAGATGTGCACTGGGGCAAGAGGCTGCAGCCCTCCCAGCAAATCCACAAATAACTTAAGGCTTTGCACCACGTGTAGTCAGTCATTCACATTTGTGCAAAGTGAGGATAAAGCAGGATATCTGTGCTGACGGAAGTGTTCACACACAAACACAAATACTGCCTGTGGCGGCTTTTAATGTAAGCAGCCCCTGCCGGTAGGAGAAGGAACTGGAAGCAGCTGGGACTTGAGACTTAGGGAGTAATTTACTTGAAAGAGCAGTTTCAACTGCAAAACTCTAAGAGTCAGCCTAACAGTGGGCAACTGATACATTGTATCCTGGTAAACAGGCTGAGTTATTATCATTCCTACATAGAAAGGTTCCATCAGGTCTTGATTCTGTGCATTTCTGAGGACCTTACTACTATTCTGCAACCCATGCATCATCCGGCTTCTGAGAATGTCTTAAATGTTTCATAACCTTAAAATGCCAAGAAACCTAGGAGAGCTTCCCTGTGCTTGTTTTATTAATATTGCTGATGGGCTTTTCATAGTGATGTGAGAAACAGCTTTGCTGCCATGCTGGAGAAGGTCAGGGTGCAATGTCCTGATCAGGAAATACCTGGAGATGCTGGCAACCTTGAGCGGATTCTTGCACACTGACAAGAGAGGAAGCAACCATTGGTTTGGGAAGGGAGCCCCAGTCCGCACATTCTGCACAGGCTGATTTTACTGCCAGGCTTACCGGAGGTTGGAACTTAGTGGTTCTGCAGCTCAGCTCTCTCTGCTAAGATTTACTCTGGCTCAGAGACCAGCTGGCATAGCTTGTTGCCACACTGGTCCTTCCAAAAAGGCCAGCAAGAAATAAAAACCCTTTATGGCCAAGGCTATGACTGGCCACATCACCAAGTCACCAAATTGGTCTGGCCCAGCTCCACAGAACTCCCATCTGGTCTCTCCTCTGAGTTGAATCTGCAGTCTGCACAGGCAGTCCCATAGCCATGCTTTACACTGCACACAAAACAATTCAGCTCTCACCTGCCTTACTTTGCTTTGAATTCAACCCAAGTCATGGATAAGCTGTCATTTTTATTTATTTATTTATTTATTTATTTTGTGTGTGATAAAAACTATGTAGGCCAAGTACAGACTTTCTGCACAGAAACCTCAGAGAGCTGTAATCTCCAAGGACCTTTACAACTGGTGAAAAGCAAATTAACTAAATTGATGTGAAAGAAAAAACTCTGATTTGTAATAGCTGGGGATTTGGACAATACCTGCTAAAAAAAACAAAACAACAACCAAGCTTTGTAACACATACCTATATTCTGGCTGCAGTCATGCCCATGAAGAGATTTTTCTCTTCTGTGAGAACACAAGGAGGGTTGCACAGGAAACAAGTGATAGCTGCCAAGCAGATATATTTGTCAAACTGATGATCACTTGCAGTGATCATCAAACTGGGCAGCACATTCCATTCCCTGGCCCTGGGCAAGGCAGGGGTTTTCCAGTGTGCCACAGTGCTGCGTCAGAGCGGAATTGGCCCTCTGCATTTCATCTCTGATGCATTAGAATTTTATTTAGAACATGATTTAGTTCTTCAGCCTCCAAGCTGCAGAGGCAAGGTGCCAGTCTTCTGCAGGAGGGGCAAGGACTATAAACAGAGCAGGCTAGGCTGCCACAGGCAGCTTTGGGTCTGCTTAAGTTTCTTGTTTAGCCTGGGAGAAGCAGAAATCCAATCTGCTGAGAAGATACTGAATAGTACAGGCACTAGCAATAGCTCTTCTCTCCAGCCAGTGACTACCTCTCATTTTTTTGGTACACAAATACAGCCACTTACCTTTCCTGAACAAGGACAGCACCACCATTCATCTGTACTTCCCTCCAGCACTTAGGTTTTTGCAAACTCTTGCCATGAAAACCATTATGTATTTTCATGAAACCAGCTACTCATGAGGGAAATGCATTCCTTCATTTTCAAAACAACAAATAAAATTAATTCAAAAATTAAGTACCCAGAAATAACACATATTTCATCTTTTGGAGGCACCTGGAGCTTTAAGAGGTGGTGTTTATCAGATCTTGCTCTAATTTGTATCACTATCATGTAGGCTCACTAGGAGCCCTCCCTGGAGTTGTTTGTATAAGGAAGGGACATTTTTGCTGCAGGCCAAATATATAATAAAAATACCACCAAGAGCCCAGTCCTGCACTTACCATTCTTTGTTTTCCTTCACAGATACCTATACTGAGAGCTTTTTCTTCCCTTACTCTGTGCTTGACTGAGAATTGCTACTGAAGAGAAAAAACACATTTCCACAAGTTTCTGCTGGCTAGCATACCTCTCAGCATGTATATTTTATTTAGAGCACAAAGCTAATGGGGGCCATCTCTGAACAGTGCAGTTTAGACTGTCTGAATGTTTAAATAATATGCTTTGCTTGTATTAAGACAACACTCCATATAATTTTATTTGTAGAATCCCACATTAAAAATAAATATAAAAACAAAAGAACACCAAAACTTGTAATGAAACCAAAGTAAAATAACAAAACAGTACATTCTGCTCAACAGATTCATTTCAATATGATCTTCAATAGAAAGCTTACTCCATTAAAATTGAAGAGCGTTCATTATAGTTTCTCTCATGTATTAAAGAATCCTAAGTCACTTTAACAAGCATTCTAATTAATACAGCAAATAATTCAAGAATTTCTGTATTAATGCATATTGACAATACTATATATAAAAAAGCCAAACCATTTAACAAGTGTGAACGATCTGCACTATGATTAAACTGAACACAAACAATTTAAAAGTGATTTCTGAAGTTACAGGTTGTGTTAACACAAAGGCACATTTTATTTTAAATGTAAATTCACATTTCTAGAAGGTAAAAGTTTTGTGCCCAGGCAACTTTAAGTCACTGCAGCACAGTCAAACAATTCTAACTGTATGTATCTGAACTTTCAATAGAAAGATCTAGTTTCTATTTATTTAATCCAGTTTTAATAATGGAAAAATTAAACTAGAAACAGGAGAGCTCCTGCTCCTGTATTTACAGACTGCAGCAAACTATACTGCTTTCTCATCAGAAAGTCTTCCTCTCAAATCTTGTTAAGCTTGGTAACTATCAGCACCCTCACAGTCTGGTCAAAGGCACCACAAACACACAGTCCCTTTTTGTCAGGGCTCCAGTCTAGGCTGGAAATGGGCTGTGTTGACAGAGTCACATTCTGCAAGAGGCTGACAGAACCTGCTACCCCCATCTCAGCTCCTTCAGAGTCCTTCTTCGAGCGCTGAGCTGGGTATTCACTGGCAATAAGAAAAGCAAAACATGTGCTTAGAATTTACTGATACAGACATCATCATCCTCTCTGTTTTCAAAGGAAGGGTTTTCTCTGTTCTCCAGATAAGGAAAATAAATAATGAATGTCTTTAAAATAATTAATATTCATATCCAGCTATATCCACACTGCATACTTGATAAATACTTCATAGAAGAAAAACAATGAGGCACGATATTTTGAATCCTGACACCTCTTCATTTTTTAACTGTTTATTTTTTGCCACAGGCAAGAAAATTTAATCTCAGCTGTCCCTCTGAAACTCAATGCACCTACTTCACAGTGTTTAGGATGATTAAATTAATCCACCATGTAATGTAAGAAGATGTAAACAGAAGAATCATTAAAAGTCCAGGCTTTCAATATTATTCTCACACATAACTGCTACGATATGAGAATTCTACGAAATCCCTCTTTCTCCATTTATGACCTTTTTAAGAAAGGATATAATTAAATCTTGATTATGTTAAGAAAACTGACAAGGGGTAAAATTCACCAATGCTGTTCTCACATTCTTTGAGGGAATTATTCAAGATTCCAGATCAAGTACTGACACTGAAATCCACCATTTCTACTGCATTTGTAAGCAATAATTTAAAGCAGAAATTATGAGGTTCGAAGAAGGACCCCATATATTCTTTTCAGTAAGATTCTTTCTTAAAACATTAGATGGTTGGTTTCTTGTTCCCCCTGTTGCAGACTGGAGAGTAATCACTTACTATTTCCAGAGATGAAGGCTCCCAGCTCCTCCACTCGTCATAAATATATCCCTGTTCTGTGGCAGGTGCCGAACCTGCCAGATGGTAGATTTTTGCACCTAATAAAAAAAATCAGCATTGTATAGAAGTCAATTACAGAGGAGCTTCACAAGAAAGGATGCAGAATCTTAAAATAGCAATCACTTGTATGAACAGAACCCCACCTTCTCACAGTGGATATTGGAACATATGTTCTGAGGTACGTTCCCTTCCTCCAGCCTTGCAACCCGCTGCCACAGGAGTGGCCATTTCCCACAGAGGAGAAGCCAAGTCAGGCCTCCAGTGCACTCCACTCTTCTGCAGGGATAAGGCAGCAGCCCGATCAAGGCTACCAATCACTAGTACTCAGGCTTCTTTGGGACTGGCCATGTGAGCAAGGTTAAAGAGAGGTAAGGTGGCTGCATAAGCAGGTTATTTGGAACTGCTCTAGAATGACAAGATTCCCAGGTTCTTAGGTGACACAATCAGCACAAGGTTAATTTCATCACCATCACACACTACAAACACTGTGCAAACACAACAAACAATCTACAGTTCAAATTTAAGTCTCAGCCAGGGCACAGCAAGATCACACAGCAACAGAAATCACTTAGGGAAAAACCCCAACACATGCACTCTGACTTATTGCATCTCTGCAAATACCCAGAAGGAAAAGCTTAAATGCATTGAAAGAAAGAGAACAAATTCCATTTTCACATTTTGATTATTACAAACACTAATTCAGTAAATAGTTTTGTGTTATCTGACTGAAGGACTTCCAACATTTTATCTGCTTTGAATGGTGGTATGGAAAATATTGATTTAAAAGATATTAAGTTGAAACTCAGCATTTTGTAATTTAGGCAGTCCTGAAGAACTTCACCACGAAAGTTCATTTTCTCTAATTATCATCAGATTTTATATGCTAAAAATAAATAAATAGTGCTTTACAAAGAACTTAGAATAATCAAGGCCACAGATGGAAGAAAAAAGGGTTATAAGAGCTCTCCATATTTAACAGCCTCTGGGCTAAAAGTATCTCCTTCACTCATACCCAGTAACTGAATCAAAAAATACTCAGTTCTGAAGAAAAACAATGATTTCTGTGTCTCATATGAGGTCTGGTGACTGCAGGAAGAAAAGTGTGTGCAGAAGGCTCATTTCCTTTTGGGTTATATTTAAGATTTGGATCTGCATGCTCATCACGAATAAATATGGCCTCAAACAAATGTGACTCCCAGACCAGGGGCACAGCTGAGTGCACAGAGGTGCAACTGCAACAGAACCCCGAGACCAGAGAAGCCAAATGTCAGGTTATATAAGAGAGAACACCCAGGTGAGCACTGGCAGCTGGATGCACTGGGATGCTTTCACTGCCTGCACCTGGGGCCACAGCAGCCATCCTACCCACACAGCTTGTGCCCCCGTAAACTGAGCATCTATCACCTATCAGACACAATAGTTTTAGACCTGTGGTACTCTGACAGCATACATTCAAAATGTTTGTCTCTTATTAAGAAATTGTCTGTCTCCCCATACCTTCTCTGAAACAGAAGCAAAACCTTTGGCTGGATGCTGAGTTCTCATATCAAAAACATGAAATTTTCCTTCAAGCGATGTGGCCACTAGCTTGTTCATGTTTACATCTTTTCTATCAAATTCCACACTGCAAACCTGGAAATTAAAAAAAAAATATTAAAAATTACATGCAGCCTTGAAATTTGGCCACTGCTAAAAAAAATGGGGGTTTTGTGATTTGTAAATATATGCTAATCATTGCTTATTTTTACAATGCCAACATCACCAATTTGAAAATAACAAAATTATCTGAAAACATGAATCCACCTAAAAATACCCCACGCTATCCAGACCAAGAACTTGAGTGGTATAATTTGGTGAACTTAAAACAACTCCTTTGTATAATCTGAGCAGAACTGTCATCTGGGTCAATTTCAGGTAGACAGAGGATTTCTAATTTTTCCATCCTGCATAAGATCTAGAATGAAAAATACTTTTACGGTTTCCTTACCCCATTCTTAATGTTGGTCTCCCATCGTAGTGACATGGTTTTTAAGTCAAACAATTTAATGTCCCCATTGTCATATCCAGCACATACAACACGTTCCTCTTGATTGTAAGCATTTCCTGGACACAGTGAAATAATTAATCAGAACACAGAAACCTTCTTTTGGCTGTACATTTCAGACCTCCTAAGCCTGCTATTTCAACTTATACCAGAAAAATATTACTATTGCAATATTAAGATTTAATGAATAGTCTAGTTTTCAAACCAGAAGTATAGAAAATACAGCTTCAAAACTGGTAGTCTGTTTCTTTAAAAAATATTAGAAAAATCCTTATTCCCCCTGACAAAATCAAGCGTGAAATGTTAGTGGGACAAGAAGACTGTTCTGTGGACACATGCCCATAGGGAGGCCCTGGGCATTATCATGCCTTTACTAGAGAGATGCAGAAGCCTGCCTGCAAAACCTTTCAGCTGACAGGATCAAGGAAACAGTTTCTGAAAGAAGTTATCCCTGGGCACGTAGCTCAAGATGAACCTGACCATGGCTCAAGCTTCACTGACTCAAAAGAAAATGGAAGGAAATATGATGACACTTTTTTCTCTATCCATCAAAGCAGAATACAAAGCTACCAATAGCAATGAGCATTACAGATGCAAGTTGCTAGGAAATGTCCTCTCCTTACTATCAACTTTGTTATTATACTCCCTGAGATTATTAGCACTTTGTAAAACTCACTCCCTAATTCCAGAGGCAAAAATGGAGCTAATCCAGAAATACCAGCTTGTGTAAAACACAGCTTGCTCTCTCCAAAGGAAAAATGCTGAGCACACATCAAGCATCTCTGTTGTCTTTAATTAGCACTTCAAGGATCTTCTCTTAAATTAATGCCATAATGCTTGATAGATGGAACTATGCCACAACAGCAATTTGTTCCCTGCACACTCCAGCATTTGCACTCTTTCAGGACAATGCAGCTGGATACACTGTTTTTACATTCCTTGGCATAGAAATAAAGCTTGCACAGTTTGTCTATGAAATGATTGACCAACAGTGATAGGCAAATGAGTCCAAAACCCTGACATTACAAAACTGATTTATTTTGAAAACCCACTAAACACACATAAATTTGACAATGTTGAAAAGCAAAACCTGCTACTGATTGGTACATACAAAACAAACTATTCCACAACATCCTGAAATACTTTGATAATATTCAATATGAGAGGGAGGAACTGATAAAATCCGATAGGTTACCAAATGCTACTGTCCAGCAGTCTCTTTTGTTCTCCCCCTGTGCAGGCTCCATATTAGCAACTGGAGTATCCTTCTGTCTTGGGTCCCATACCTTCACAGTTCCTGTGAAAGAAAGACAAGGGATTTTGTATTACGGATACACTGTCACATTGTGTTCATCTTCCCAGGGCAGGTCTTTGCTTTTCAGCCTGACAATTCAAAACACAGGGCATCTCTTTCAATTCCAAAAAGCCAGACTGCTTTTAGCAGACAGAAAAAAGCCCAAAGAAAACAGAATTAAACCAAATGTCACTCCGGTCTTCACAAAGGGCAAGAAGGAGGACCCAGGGAACTACAGATTGGTTAATTGCACCTCCACCCCTGGTGGTAGAACAAGTCGTTCTGGACATGATCTCAAAACATGTGAAAGCAAAGAAAGTCATTGGAAGAGGTCAGCATGGATTCACCAAGGGGAACTCATGCTTGATTAATCCAATTGCCTTCTATGATGCCATAACTGGCTGGCTCGATGAGGGGAGAGCAGTGGATGTTACCTACCTTGACTTCAGCAAGGCTTCTGACACTGTATCTCATAACATCCTCATTAGGAAACTCAGCAAGTGGGGGCTAGACGAGTGGACAGAGGGTGGATTGAGAGCTGGCTGTGTGACAGATCTCAGAGGGTTGTGATCATGCACCAATATAGGTTAGGGGTGGACTTGCTGGAAAGCAGTTCTGAGGAAAAAGATCTGGGAGTTCCACTTAAACTTCTTCACTATGAGGGTGACAAGACACTGCAACAGGCTGCCCAGAGAGGTTCTGAGTCCCCTTCTCTGGAGACATTCAAGACCTGCCTGGATGCAGTCCTGTGTCATGTGCTCTAGGAGATCCTGCTTTAGTGGGGGAGTTGGACTAAAAGATCTCTAGAGGTCCCTTCCAGCTCTGACAATTCTGTGATTCTATGAAAGTATTTATTAAGGATATACTTTCTTGAGCTGATATTTGGCATTTATTCTGCTTTGTACTCCCTCTGTCCCATGCTCAGTGACAAGAGTATCTTTTGCTTATCTACAGCATCTAAAAGCATGAGAGAACACTTGTCCCAAGCAAGATTCAAAAGACAGTGTATGAAGAACTAGTTGCAAGAGATTTGTAACTAGTTCTGATGGCAGACTGAGCCCTGCCATCAAAGCTTGCAGACTCTCTCAGAATAACTGAAAAGACTTTTAGAGTTCACTAACTCACCATCTCGACTGCCAGTCACAATTTCTGGTGCACCTTCCCCAATTCCTAAGCCACCTACACCATCTATACTGTTTATGATTTCCTTATGACCTTTCACAGAATACACTGGTATTTCAGGAGCTTCTAAATTCCTAGGTAAGAAAAAAAAAGAACAGATAATGTGGCATTTTCCTTGACACTCGTGATTCATATAAAAATGAGAAGAAACTTGAACACAAATTATATAAACTCAAATTAACAGTGGGAACAAAATATGGGTATCACCATGAAGAACCATGACTTTTTGTTCAATTCCTTCTTTAGCTACAGCTTTAGGCTGGTCTGGAAGTTTTTGTTTCACTCTGGACTTCCCTGTTTCTAAAGGCAGTTCTGGGATTCACAGCAGCAACCCTTAAGAACTGTTTTTTTTAACATTGGGCTCAAAATTAATCATGTTACACATCAAAACGCTCCAATTAGCTTTACTTTCAGCAAGTCTATATGACCTTTTTCACCGGTCCCCACCTAGCTCAGACTACTGCTCTTCAAATGAAGAGCATCCAACTGTGGGTTTCACACTTCTTTCCCACTTTCATCTTTCAAGAACCCTTCAGAATTGTATTTTAATTTTTTTATCTTCTTTCAACTAGTGACTAATTCATGGTGTTCTTATTATTTAAAAAAAAACATAACCAATCATTCCTTGTAAAGGGAAATAGTAACAACAACAATAACATCAGTAACAATTGTTTTGATTCTATAACTTTGACAATCAACTTACTACACAAATTAATCACACAAATCATCCATGGACCTCAAAAAACACATGAAACTTCAAGGTAAAAAATACTTATTTAATCTAGAAATAAAATTTAGGTTGAGCACAGCCTTTTATTTGTATTCGTGCATCCATTCAAAAGCCTTTTTTCAAAAGAGGACCTACAATAACTTTTAACAGGTTTTTGTAACTGCACACAGAAAATGCAGCAATGAATTAAATTGTTTTGCAGAATTTATGCTGTTTTTACAAAACAGGCACGTTCCAATACAGTAGCCAGCGAAGCCTGGAACTGGGCCCCAGCCACATGCAGCACAGAAAGCATCTTATACAAAAGACAGCCACACACAGAAACATCAATTCAAACAGACATGTACAACATCAAATGGAAAAGCTTCAAGAGAACGTGTGCTTACCATATGTTAAGGTTTCCACCAAAATCTCCTGTAGCTACGTATCTTTGCTGCAGAGATGTAGCACCAAAAGTTCCACATTTTATAGGTTTAGCCTTTTCAATCTTAAAAAAAACCAAACAACACAGGATACATTCTGTGTCACCACATGAGAAATGTGCAGCACAATCACAGACTGGGCAGCAGTTTGGTGAGTCTGCAGGTGGCAGACTTCAGTGAAATGCATATAGGATATTTGGTGTAAAACACAATAAAACTGCTATTGAAAGCGAAATATACACACAGAATCACAGAATCCTAGGGGTTGGAAGGGACCTCGAAAGATCATCTAGTCCAACCCCCCTGCCAGAGCAGGGTCACCCAGAGTACATCACACAGGAACGTGTCCTGGTGGGTTTTGAATGTCTCCAGTGAAGGAGACTCCACAACCTCCCTGGGCAGCCTGTTCCAGTGCTCTGTCACTCTCACAGTAAATAAGTTTTTTCTCATGTTTACATGGAACCTCCTGTGCTCCAGTTTGCACCCATTGCCCCTTGTCCTGTCACTGGACATCACTGAAAAAACCCTGGCTCCGTCCTCCTGACACTTGCCCTTAACGTATTTGTAAACATTGATGAGGTCACCCCTCAGTCTCCTCATGGATTCACCAAGGGGAACTCATGCTTGATTAATCCAATTGCCTTCTATGATGCCATAACTGGCTGGCTCGATGAGGGGAGAGCAGTGGATGTTACCTACCTTGACTTCAGCAAGGCTTCTGACACTGTATCTCATAACATCCTCATTAGGAAACTCAGCAAGTGGGGGCTAGACGAGTGGACAGAGGGTGGATTGAGAGCTGGCTGTGTGACAGATCTCAGAGGGTTGTGATCATGCACCAATATAGGTTAGGGGTGGACTTGCTGGAAAGCAGTTCTGAGGAAAAAGATCTGGGAGTTCCACTTAAACTTCTTCACTATGAGGGTGACAAGACACTGCAACAGGCTGCCCAGAGAGGTTCTGAGTCCCCTTCTCTGGAGACATTCAAGACCTGCCTGGATGCAGTCCTGTGTCATGTGCTCTAGGAGATCCTGCTTTAGTGGGGGAGTTGGACTAAAAGATCTCTAGAGGTCCCTTCCAGCTCTGACAATTCTGTGATTCTATGAAAGTATTTATTAAGGATATACTTTCTTGAGCTGATATTTGGCATTTATTCTGCTTTGTACTCCCTCTGTCCCATGCTCAGTGACAAGAGTATCTTTTGCTTATCTACAGCATCTAAAAGCATGAGAGAACACTTGTCCCAAGCAAGATTCAAAAGACAGTGTATGAAGAACTAGTTGCAAGAGATTTGTAACTAGTTCTGATGGCAGACTGAGCCCTGCCATCAAAGCTTGCAGACTCTCTCAGAATAACTGAAAAGACTTTTAGAGTTCACTAACTCACCATCTCGACTGCCAGTCACAATTTCTGGTGCACCTTCCCCAATTCCTAAGCCACCTACACCATCTATACTGTTTATGATTTCCTTATGACCTTTCACAGAATACACTGGTATTTCAGGAGCTTCTAAATTCCTAGGTAAGAAAAAAAAAGAACAGATAATGTGGCATTTTCCTTGACACTCGTGATTCATATAAAAATGAGAAGAAACTTGAACACAAATTATATAAACTCAAATTAACAGTGGGAACAAAATATGGGTATCACCATGAAGAACCATGAGTTTTTGTTCAATTCCTTCTTTAGCTACAGCTTTAGGCTGGTCTGGAAGTTTTTGTTTCACTCTGGACTTCCCTGTTTCTAAAGGCAGTTCTGGGATTCACAGCAGCAACCCTTAAGAACTGTTTTTTTTTAACACTGGGCTCAAAATAAATCATGTTACACATCAAAACGCTCCAATTAGCTTTACTTTCAGCAAGTCTATATGACCTTTTTCACCGGTCCCCACCTAGCTCAGACTACTGCTCTTCAAATGAAGAGCATCCAACTGTGGGTTTCACACTTCTTTCCCACTTTCATCTTTCAAGAACCCTTCAGAATTGTATTTTAATTTTTTTATCTTCTTTCAACTAGTGACTAATTCATGGTGTTCTTATTATTTAAAAAAAAACATAACCAATCATTCCTTGTAAAGGGAAATAGTAACAACAACAATAACATCAGTAACAATTGTTTTGATTCTATAACTTTGACAATCAACTTACTACACAAATTAATCACACAAATCATCCATGGACCTCAAAAAACACATGAAACTTCAAGGTAAAAAATACTTATTTAATCTAGAAATAAAATTTAGGTTGAGCACAGCCTTTTATTTGTATTCGTGCATCCATTCAAAAGCCTTTTTTCAAAAGAGGACCTACAATAACTTTTAACAGGTTTTTGTAACTGCACACAGAAAATGCAGCAATGAATTAAATTGTTTTGCAGAATTTATGCTGTTTTTACAAAACAGGCACGTTCCAATACAGTAGCCAGCGAAGCCTGGAACTGGGCCCCAGCCACATGCAGCACAGAAAGCATCTTATACAAAAGGCAGCCACACACAGAAACATCAATTCAAACAGACACGTACAACATCAAATGGAAAAGCTTCAAGAGAACGTGTGCTTACCATATGTTAAGGTTTCCACCAAAATCTCCTGTAGCTACGTATCTTTGCTGCAGAGATGTAGCACCAAAAGTTCCACATTTTATAGGTTTAGCCTTTTCAATCTTAAAAAAAACCAAACAACACAGGATACATTCTGTGTCACCACATGAGAAATGTGCAGCACAATCACAGACTGGGCAGCAGTTTGGTGAGTCTGCAGGTGGCAGACTTCAGTGAAATGCATATAGGATATTTGGTGTAAAACACAATAAAACTGCTATTGAAAGCGAAATATACACACAGAATCACAGAATCCTAGGGGTTGGAAGGGACCTCGAAAGATCATCTAGTCCAACCCCCCTGCCAGAGCAGGGTCACCCAGAGTACATCACACAGGAACGTGTCCTGGTGGGTTTTGAATGTCTCCAGTGAAGGAGACTCCACAACCTCCCTGGGCAGCCTGTTCCAGAGCTCTGTCACTCTCACAGCAAAGAAGTTTTTTCTGATATTTACATGGAACCTCCTGTGCTCCAGTTTGCACCCATTGCCCCTTGTCCTGTCACTGGACATCACTGAAAAAACCCTGGCTCCGTCCTCCTGACACTTGCCCTTAACGTATTTGTAAACATTGATGAGGTCACCCCTCAGTCTCCTCTTCTCCAAGCTAAAGAGACCCAGCTCCCTCAGCCTTTCCTCACCAGGGAGATGTTCCACTCCCTTCATCATCTTTGTGGCTCTAATACATAACTGGGTGTTTTTTGTGTGTGTGTGCACAGAAAAGAAGGGATTTCAACTTAAAGGTCCTGAAAACCCCTCTCACTTGACGGTGTCAAGCAACGAGACCCAGAGGCTGCTGCCTGGACTGGTGTGAAAACGCGAGGCGCCGGGACGCCCCGCTGGCACCCCGGGAAAGGGCGGGATGAGCCGTTCCCAAGCTCCGAGGGAGCAGCGCCGCGGGGGAATCTCATTAACTGGGGCAGCTAATTGCCTGGCGGCCCCGGGGGAGGGGGTGGGTGTCCGTGCACCTGAGGCGCCGCGATCCCTGAAAATCAGCAAACCCCCTTCCCCCCAAAAG